GTTGTACCCCATATTGTCTACCCTACTACAGCCTACACTGACTATAGCATATAAGTTTGACACTGTAGCGCCGCAAAATTTGCACGTCTCATTATTTGCTAGCCGCTGCTCCACATCGCCCTCGTCGTTCTCTATCGGGTCGGCAGTCGTGGGTGGTGCCAATCGCCCCATGCCACTAGTTGGCTTGTTGCGTCGTGTTCCGTTGTAGCTACTGTTCAACGTGTCGAACTGTTCGATCAATGCTGCCGGACACTGCGCCCACGTCCCCTCGCCTTGGACTATTCTGTTGTTGATCCACTCTAGAGCTGGGCCTCGTAACAGTATTGCTGCGAGCCGTATACGCATTGCGTCTTTTGTCGGGGTCGTGCATCCAACGGCTTCGAAGTAAATTTCGAGTTCAACTACAAATCGACGAACGTCGTTCTTTTTTACTGTAGGATCGAACGCCTCCGGTGGCCTTGGCTTCACTGCTTCGAGGTTAACTGTAGCTGCTGCCGTTTGCGCATGTAGAATTGTCGGTGTTGCCGCTTCTGCTGCTGCTACTGTTGTCGCTGCTGCTGTGGCGGTTGCCGACTGGTTCGCAAGGAGTTTTTCAAGTCGTGGGAGCGCCGCATGTATTTGCTTATGCTCAGCACGTAACTCCGCGATTTTCTGTACTGAAATATCTCCTTTTCCCTCCATTTGGCGATTTACAGGAATATGCGCGACGAAAATAATCGAATTCTAGGTGCTGGTCGACTTACTGCGAGTCAAGTTGACTATAGGATCGACGAGCGCGAATTCTGTAGGTCGCGTAAATCTCTCCTGGGCGAAATTCGCGTCCGATCTTGGCCGTTGAGGAGAATTTAAATCCGACGCTCCAAATTCCAACTACTTTGGGCGAAATTCTCTGGGCCGTTGAGATGAAACTCGATCGAACGGTCGAAACTCCAACCTTTCCACCAGTAAATCTGAGGGGTGTTCGAAAACCGAATCGAGGGGGACTTAGAAAAATTGCGCGGAACTGGTTTTACATACCCGTATCGACGCTTTCGTCGTCGCCCCCGCGGTTTTTTAAAGGAACTAAGCGGTTGAAGATCTCGCGTGTAAACCCGCTCTGATTACCAAGTGTGAGGATCTAGGATCGAGCTCAGAAAAGAGAATTGTAATTGAATGATCACCTGGGTACAACACGAGGCTATATATAGGTTCGACACAAGGCCCTGTAACCAGGTGTTACGCGAAGGTTCCGCGGGTCGCGAAGCGTCCCGAACAGATCCTTCCCGAATTCGGTAGAAGGCAATTCGGTGGCAACCGAAAAGCCAGAATTCGGTGCACGCAACCTAGCTCGGTGCTATAACTATAATAAAATATAGGAAAGCACCTAGCCTAGGAAATCAAGCAATTCATGCATGCATATAATTATCCTATGCTAGAAATAGCATGATAAAGTAAAGGCAAGCAAGCATAGCTGGCATAAGCCGTCGTACTCTCACAGTCGCCGTCAGGGTCGAGCTTCTGGAGCTCGAGGCTCTACCGCTGGAGGTATTTCTGCTGTCGTCACTGGAGCTGGGAGTGGTGCTGGTCCCGGAGGTGCTCGTACTGGAGGTACTGGAGCTGCTGGGGCTGGAGGTGCTGCTGAGTCTGAGGGTGCTGCTGCTGGAGACCCTGGGTCTGGGGGTGCTGCTGCTGGAGACACTGAGGCTGGAGACCCTGGGACTGGAGGTACTGGTTCTGGGGGTGCTGCTGCTGGTGGAGCTGGTCCTGGAGGAGCTGGCGCTGAGGGTTCTGGAGTTGCTGGAGGTGCTGGAGCTGCTTGGGGTGCTGGAGCTGCTGGTGCTGGTGGCACTACACAGCCGCGCCTGTTCTTCGCTCCACCGTCTCAGTCGTCTCAGCCTTCGCCTGACTCTGTGCTTCGCCAGGTTCTTAGTCTCCCTTCGTCTACTGGTCTTCCGTTACAGCCTGGCTCACTGTTGCCTGCTCCTTCTCCTAACACTGAGCAGACAGGGGGTTTTGCTGAGCGTCGTGAGCCTGCGTTGCGTCCTGTCTCGCCTGTCCGTTCTCGTAGTTCCGGTCGTCGTGTTCCTCGTTCGCGTCAGCCGGCTGTCCCCGACACTCACCTCGTAGTTCGTCGTCCTTCCTCTCATCTGCAGCGTGTTCCCCTGCCGTCCCCTCCTGCGTCTTCTCTGCCTACCCTTCCTGAGCCTGAGTCTGACCGCAGCCGTGCTGCTCACTCTACTGTCACGCGTCTGCTAGCCACAGTTGTCACTGACCCGTCGTTTGAGTCTGCTGCTGCGTCTGCCTTTGTTGCTGAGCTTGTTGACTTTGCTGCTGCCTGTCGTCTAGACTGCGCCGCTAGTCTTGTTGCTGAGTCTGAGTCTGTCTGTCCTCCGTCCATCGAGGGTGAGTGTGCTCTTGGCACGGACGTCTTTGAGGACATGCAGGAGGACCTTGAGTGTCTTGCAGCCGCTGCGTCTCATCTCGTGTCCATGCTGCTTGCCCCTAAGGGAGACCCGGATGCTCCAGACATCCCGACCCCGCGCTCTTACGCTGAGGCGATCGCGGGTGAGTACTCCTCTCAGTGGCAGACAGCCATGGACGCAGAGATGGCATCCTGGAAGTCCACAGGCACCTACGTCGACGAGGTTCCCCCTCCTGGGGCAAACATCGTCAGTGGCATGTGGATTTTCAGGGTGAAGCGGCCGCCAGGTTCTCCGCCTGTCTTCAAGGCTCGTTACGTTGCTCGAGGTTTCAGTCAGCGAGAGGGAGTAGACTTCTTCCAGACCTTCTTCCCCACCCCGAAGATGACAACTCTTCGGGTGCTGCTGCACGTTGCCGCTCAGCGTGACTACGAGCTTCACTCTCTTGACTTCAGCACAGCTTTTCTTACAGGGCAGCCTGCACGAGGAGATCTGGCTGCGCCGCCCTCTTGGCTTCACTGGGTCGTTCCCTCCTGGTACCCAGTGGAGCCTCCAGCGGCCAGTCTACGGTCTCCGACAGGCGCCGCGTGAGTGGCACGACACACTGAGGACTACACTTGCGGCTCTTGGGTTTGCTCCGTAGACTGCTGACCTGTCGCTGTTTCTACGCACCGACACTTCGCTGCCGTCGTTCTACATCCTCGTGTATGTTGACGACTTGGTCTTTGCCACTGCTGACATTGAGACTCTCGCCCTGGTGAAGTCGGAGCTGCAGAAGAGACACACGTGCACAGACCTGGGTGAGCTGCGCAGCTATCTTGGCTTGCAGATCACCCGGGACAGAGCACGCCGCACCATCACACTGACTCAGTCACACATGGTGCAGCAGGTCCTTCAGCGCTTCGGCTTCACCTGGTCCTCAGCACTGGCCACTCCTCTGGCTACAGGTCACTCGCTCTCAGCTCCACCTTCAGACGAGTCCGTAGAGCCGAGTGGTCCTTACCCAGAGCTAGTGGGCTGCCTCATGTACCTGATGACCTGTACTCGTCCTGACCTTGCGTACCCTCTTGGCCTTCTGGCTCGCTACGTGGCTCCTGGTCGGCACCGAAAGGTGCACATGGATGCTGCTAAGAGGGTACTGCGCTACTTGTGCAGTACATCAGGCATGGGGCTCGTGCTTGGAGGGAGGAGCTCAGTTGTTCTCACTGGGCACTCAGACGCTTCTTGGGTTGACGACCAGGCTACTCAGCGGTCGTCACAGGGTTACACCTTCAGCCTTGGCTCTGGTTCAGTTTCGTGGCGTTCTACACGCTCGTCTTCAGTTCTCAGCTCCAGTTGTGATGCTGAGATCTACGCCACAGCCATGGCTGCACAGGAGTTACGCTGGCTCACCTACCTGCTGACTGACTTGGGAGAGCGGCCTCGTTCTCCTCCAGTGCTGTACGTCGACAACAAGGCTACCATTGCCTTGTGTGAGGAGCACAGACTGGAGCACAGAACGAAGCACATCGCTCTGCGTTACTTCCTGGCTTGAGAGTTGCAGCAGCGTGGGCAGCTTCGTCTGCGTTACGTGGCCACTCGGGCCAACACTGCTGATACGGTATATTCACCAAGGCACTTCAGGCTGGTGATCATCAGCGTTTCGCATTATGCTAGGGCTTGTGCCCACTTTTCCTCACTTGCTGTAGGCCTTGCTTGTACTGTGATCTATATAAATATACCTGCATGCTTGCATTGCTAGGTAGAGTTCACTGTGATGTTTGTGTTGCATATATGTCTCTGCATGTGAACTGGCCTTGTGGCCCTTGTGCTCAGTGTGTGTGGTGACGTTGTGATCCACCCTGAGCTTGCTTTGCTTTTCTTGACTGGTTTTGTGATCTCCTGCTCTCCCCCACTTTGCCTATGGGGGTGTGTCAAACATTTATATATATGTTAGCGTTAGGTTTTCCTCTTGTACCAACTCTCTCGATACTCGAACTCACCCTTGCCTAAGTCTCGACAGTCAGCTAACGGGTGGAAGCGACCTTTGTTAAATAGTTTCTACAATAATTACAGTGCTCTCAAACAAACACTAGAAGGACCTGCTTTCACAGATATCTTCCTCGCTTTCCCACAGAGCGCATGATTGTTATTTGGATGAATCACAGCCAAAGGAAACCTAGTCAACGCCTCACCATAAAGCTGTATCACGTCCTGCACATTGGATTTTGTGTATGGGCCAAAGCACATTGAAAAAGTAAAGCTGTAGCGCTTGAACAGACCACTCCAGGTGCTTGAAATGTTCTTCCAATGTGGGACGTTTTTTCTGTCAAGGTGTTTGGCAGCGAGGCACGAACGAACAGCCATAAAGTCGGGTTGAGCCCCTCCTGATCGGACGTTGTCGACTCGTGTCTTTTCCACAATGTAAAATTCTGATGGAGAGGATCTGCCACGAATGGTACAACAAAAATTCTATGTATTGTCATATCAACGTTATTTAATGAATATTCAGTCCAGGATCAGCAGGATACACAATATTCACGTGATATACTACAGGAGTTGTCAAATCAATGCAAATGCAAGAAGGGATGCACCAAAATGACAGAAGCAAACAACAAAAAACTATACGTACTCCAGTCCCTTAAACGAGTATCTCCCCGTTGCTGCCAGGTCACCAAGGATCTTTCCATGGCTACGGGGAGGTCTCAACTTGGCCGCGTAGCGAACTGAAAAAGGAATCGGGTGGAAGGCAAGAACGATGAGACAAAGGACCATCGCTCCAACGCAGCTGGGTGCGCTATAGTGGATGCGGTATAATATGAGTTACCCCCGAGGAACACAATCTAGCAGTAGACCAGCTTTTCCATACAAGAAACATGATACCTTGAAAAAGAATCAGGCGGAGAGTTGAGTGAAACATTCTCGTACTTTGGCTGATTGGAAGCACTCACTGAAAACTTTCCCTTTAGGAACAGACGAAATCTGTGTGGAAGACGGGACAGGAAGACCTCCTGGACGCGATGACGTTGATGCAAGGGACGAGAGTAAGAAGGACTCTGGAAATGACGAGAGTAAGAGGGGCGCTGGGAGCGACGGTGCAGCAGACGCTGCTGCACTGACGGTTGTGCGGAACGGCACCGTTACTAGCAAACCTGCACACGGAGGCACAGGGCAGGGCGAGGTCTCGTTAGAAGCACGCTGCGTTTGAGCGGCAGAGGCTTGGATACCCTTGCGAAGGGGCGGAAGTAGTAAGTGCTCACAAATTAATAGACAGCAGAACGTGGTTCGCTCCATGATACAGATGTCAAAGAAACGAGCAACTACAGGACAAAGAGAAAATAAATCCAGGTTCTCTTCGGGAAGTGGGCAAGAACGGGACTGAAACCCATTACCGAATGCGCGTCCCGGTATCTGGCTAATCGAGCAAGATTCTACGCACAACGCGGCTTCGGCAATTCTTGGATGGAACGTCGTCGCCGTAAGCGCGCACCATGCGCTGGTTCAATCGTGTGCACTCTGAAGGGCAGATACGAACTTGGCTTTGTGTGCCGCTGCATTGCTGGATCCCAAGTGCACCATTGCTCGCACATGCGGCCATGTGTAGGGTTCTTCCATCGTTCCACCAACAGAAAGCAAGAAACGAGGCGAAATGGCAGTGGAGTAGAGTGGACGGGTGGAAAAGGTTTCCTGGCGTGGTGTCAGATGGCGAACAGCACTGGCGAGATGAGCTGCCGAAGTGCACGGGTGAGGCAGGTGTGGCGAGGGCGGTTGGGCTTTCGCGAAATGCTGGCGACGGATTTTGTACGGAAATGAATTCGTCTAGCGTAACTTTCCAAAAGTCCGTGCCTGCTGAGGGCGGGTCGGGCATGGTTCAAGTATGACTGCTTAGGCTGGATAACCGCTTTAAGACGCACAAAATCGTTTTCAACCGCGTACTTTGAACCGAAAGTGTACATAATTCGACCCGCCTCAAACCTAGAAAGTTGGTATCACTGCCTTACTGATGAATGCAGGCAACGGCTGTGCCATCCATGGCTTGATCGAAAATAGAACGCGATTAGTCACGCACAGCATTGCTGCACGCTGATGCGTTTAGGACCTACAATTCTCCCACGCTGAAACGCGCGTTCAGGGTAGAGCTCGCAGTAGTAGCGTTAGATTAGGTTCTAATATTTTAGAGTACCTTGGCTCCGTCGATCTTGTCAGCCGTCGACATGGCGGCATCTGTTCTTCCGTACGCGAGACCTCGTTTCGACCAAAGTCACACGCCGCGGCTAGCGAACGATCGCATTCCGAAACCGAGGAGACAAGCAAGTCCGCCACTGACAAGTTTTTTGCAATGAAGACGTTACCTTGGTACCTGTCGCTGAGTATGCGATGAAGGTCCTCCTCTAGTGTTTTTGAAATGTTCTTCTTTACAATTAATATATTCATATCGTGTTCATCATCGCTAGCTTCAGTGCCTCCCTCCTTCGCCATTTCTTCCGTTCTCGCGCGTCCCTCTTCCTTCCTGCGTTCCTCCCTTCCATGGCCATTACAACTCTCAGCTTCTTCGCTCGGTACAGCTTCTAGGCGTAGTTGTAACACCTTGCCCCTTCGCTGGGAATAGTTAAGCACCCTAAGGAGGCACGGTTACGATTAAAAGATAACTAAACATGCGGCCCACTGTTCCGACATGTCATGTCCTCTTGAGTCCCGTTCCGTACGGGTGTCGTTTCTGGTCCCACCTCGCCCATCCTGCCCCTTTTATGTACCGAGAGAGTAATGTGTCACCTCCTGTGTCTTGCCCCGTGTCTTGTTCCGTGTCACCTCCACTCCCCATGTTACTGGGCGGCGAAAAGAAGGAAGAATCTGAAACATCTGAGCTTCGCATTCCACCCGTTCAGGACAGCACTACCTCGGTGCCCCTCTCATTCGCTCCTCCACTCCCCTTCTCCTTCAGTGTCAACGCCTCTAAACTCAGGAAGAACCACCCACACTCACCTGCAAGCCTTCGTATTCCGCCTTGGGTCGTTTCAGCTCGCCCTGCTTCTCCACCAGTCGGCTCTGCACCTCTACACATCGTTCGCCTCTGTGCCCCTCCCATCCAGCCTCATAGCGACCTGCACCGCACAGAACCCACCTGTAAGGCTTCATACTCCGCTTTCAGCCGTTTCAGCTCTCCCTGCTTCTCCACCAGTCCGCTCTGCACCTCCATCACATCACCACTGCCTCTGTGCCCCTCCCATCCAGACTCATACCAACCTGTACCGCACAGAACCCACCTGCAAGGCTTCATATTCGGCTTTCAGCTGTTTCAGCTCGCCCTGCTTCTCCACCAGTCGGCTCTGCAGCTCCATCACGTCGTCCGCCTCTGTGCCCCTCCCCCCCGCGCCTCCCCTTCCGCCCCTTCCCCCTCCTCCCCCCTGTTGCCCCTCGTTGCCTTGATCGCCCAGCTTGCTTGCTTCAACCCCTGCCAAGGCGAGCAAGGGAGGGAGGGGAGGAGTGCGGATGAGGGGAGAAGGGCAGGAGCCAAGAGGAAGGGTGACCCATCAGTTGAAACCCCCTTCCCCCTCCCCCCTGCTGCCCCTCGCTGCCCGCATCGCCCTGCTTGCTTGCTTCAACCCCTGCCAAGGCGAGCAACGGAGGGAAGGGCACAAAGGAAGGTGATGAAGCATAATGCGCAAGTCTACCTCGCCACTGGTCGACCCTCCCTCCTCTTGTTGCCCCTCACTGCTCTGATCCCCCAGCTTGCTTGCTTCAACCCCTGCCAAGGCGAGCAAGGGAGGGACCGTTGAGAATGAAAGGTGATTGAACCACTACCTACCTGACAGAAAACCTGCGAACCACTCTTGAAGCTCCTTCAGATGCTACTTACACTGGAAAAGACGTCCCAACATCCCCCCAACCCCTCCCCCCCCCCCCTCTCCTCCCCCTTCTCTCGCCCAACGGTGATACCTAACCCACTACGCACTCTCAACAGCATGCACACCTCTTCAGCACACTCCACACCTGCGAACCATTCTTGGAGCTCCTTCAGCTGCTCCCTACACTGGGCACACGTCCAACGCGCTCCCCCATCTGCACTCTTGAGTGTCCTGCCACAGCACAAGGGGGTGAGATGGGAGAGGAGCAACGGATGGATACTCCTGCAGGCGACTCACACGTCCCACATGCCCCCCCCCCCCCCCCCCACCCTCTGCACTCTTGAGAGATCTGCAGAGCACAAGGGGGTGGGATGGGAGAGGAGCAAGAGAACATATGCAAGGGAGAAGATACTCTCTCTATCGACTCACACGTCCCCCGTGCCCCCCCCCCCCCTCTGCACTCTTGAGGGATCTGCGGAACACAAGGGGGTGGGATGGGAGAGGAGAGAAGCAAGGGGGTTGGATGAGGATACTCGTGCAGGCAACTCACACGTCCCACACGCCCCCACCCCCCCCCCCCCTGCACTCTTGAGGGATCTGGGAGACACGAGGGAGTGTGATGGTAGAGGAGCAACGGGGTTGGATGAGGATGCTCCCTACACTGCGACTCACACGTCGTCATGCCCCCCCCCTTGCCCTCCTCTGCACCCTTGAGAGATCTAAGGGACACGAGTGGGTGGGATGGGAGAGGAGAGGAGCAACGGGGTTAGATGAGGATGCTCCTGCAGGCGACTCACACGTCCCACGCGCCCCTCCCTCTGCACTCTTGAGAGATCTGCGGAGCACAAGGGAACGGGATGGGAGTGAAAACAAAGAGAATACTCAGTCGACTCACTTATGCTCTCCCCTCTCACGCTGCACTCTTGAGAAATTTGCAGAGCACAACCGGGTGCGATGGATATCCAAAGGAAATCGGTACAATTTCATATGATTTCTCGCACTCTCCCCCTCTCCCTCTGCAGTAACGACGCACTGCTGCCGCTGGCCCTCCGCCTCTGGTCGAACCCCACGGCAGAAGCGGAAATTCACTATAACGAAGCAGTTGGGAGTCGGAAGTTTATACCGAGGACAAGAATGAATCCCGTTACCGTTTAGCGGAAGATTCCTGCTGTAACGAGGCGCTGCTGCCGCTACCTCTCCGTCTCTGATCCAAACCCACGGCAGACGCGGAAACCGACAGTCCAGAAGCTGCTGCTGACGCTACCCCATGACCTTCAATCGGTCCGAACGAATGCGCTGCGGCTGCTGTTGCTGCTGCTGCTTCTGCTGTTGACAATGAGAGAATCGCGAAAAGTACCTGAGCTATACTACCGAAGATGAATAATAACGAGGATCGGGTGGTCAATGGAGGCATTTTGTGTTGAGACAGCCATATCATAATATCAAGTCGGCCACTTTGTAGCCGTTGCTAGGATTTCACTTCGCAGACAGCCGCCAGCAGCCGAGTCGCCTATTGATTTCACGCAACCCCCATGCGTCACCGCGCCTCGCTGATAGAACACCAGAGTTGCGGCTTCAGCTATGAGTTCTGAGTTTCAACGCGAGGTAGTAGGTAAGGACGTCGTAGTCCATCCTGTTTGGGTTACATGTGTTTCTGTGTATGACCCGTTATTGCAAGTGCCAGGGGTCGGCGTTGCAAACTTACGGTATATTTATATATTCTTATCATGTGGACCTCAGATTCTCTTGTTTTCTCCCTCCAACCTATCCTGCTACAAACATCAAAGCCTTATTCCTGCTCTCATTTTGTCTATGTAGAACTCACAGCAAACCATTGATAATTTGTCCAAGAGGGTGACATTCTATACTAGAACTCTGCATGAGAGGGAGCATCGACAACAATGTTTTGCAAGCACGATCAGGGAACTAAGGGCTGGAGGAAACAAATGTCGCCGTGTCGTTGCGCAGCCATCAGCTGACGTTTGGAATGGAAGCAAGCTTTGCTGAATAGTTTCTAATTAAAATGCTCTCAGCCCAGAACTAGAAGGTCCTGCTTTCACAGGTCTCTTCCTCGCTTTCCCACATAGTGCATGGTTGTTATTTGGATGAGCCACAACCATATAAAGCCTGGACAATATATCACTAGACTGTTGAATCACTTCCAGCACCTGGGATTTTGTCCATGGGCCGACATGCGCGGAGGCAGCAAAGCTGTAGCGCTTAAACAAACCACTCCAGCTGCGTGTGATGTTCTTCCAAGGTATGGTGTATAGTTTCTTCGGGTATTTGACAGCAATGCATGAAGGACCAACCATAAGGTACGGTTGAACCCCTCCTGATCGGATGTTGTCTGCACGTACCTTCACCACTAAGTAATATTTTGAAGCAGAGGACCTGCCGCCCATCATGGAAGAATGGTAGAGGCAGGAAATGATACTCTCACACATTATGTCGAGGTTCTTCACTGACTCTTTGGTCCAGGATCAGGAGAAAACAGAATAGTCACACAATATTTTACCGATGAAGCATTAAATGTCAAATGAATGCAAATGCAAGAAGAGCTACACCAGACTGAATATCAGAAGCAAGAACAGAAGCTTCACTTACTCTACTCCCTTGAACGAGTATTTCCCCGTTGCTGCCAGGTCACCAACAACCTTTCCATGGCTACGGGGGGGTCTCAGCTTGGCCACATAGCGCACTGAAGATGGAATCGGGTGGAAGGCAAGAACGATGGTAAAAAGGACTACCGCTCCAACGCAGCTGGGTGCGTTATAGTGAATGCATTATAGTGGAGCGTAATAGTGGAGCGTTATAATACGTGTTACCCCTGCGGAGCACAATCTAGCAGTAGACCAGCTTTTCCATACATGATACCTAGAAGAAAAATCAGGCGGAGAATTGACTGAAGCATTCTCGTGCTTGGGCTGACTGGAAGCACTCACAGAACACTTTTCCCTTAGGAACAGTCGCGCTCTGTGTGGACGACGCGACAGGGAGCGCGCCTGGAGGGGACGACTCATCAGAAGCTGCAAGGGACGAGAGTAAGACGGACTCCGGGAATGACGAGAGTAAGAGAGGCGCTGGGAGCGACGGTGCGGCAGACGCTGGGTGTGGCGGTGCGGCAGACGCTGCTGCACCGGCGGTTGTGAGGAACGTTACTAAGACACCTGCACACGGAGGCACAGGGCAGGTCTCGTAAGAATCACGCCGCGTTTTGAACAGCAGAGACAAAAAGCATTTGCGAAGGGGCGGAATATGTAGGTGCTCACGGATAAATAGATAGCAATACGTAGTGCGCTCCATCATGATAAAGATGGGAAGAAGACGCGCAACAATAGATACTAACAAAAGAAGATAGGTTCGATGGAAAATGATCAAGAAGGGGACTGAAAGCCACCATCGAATGACCGTCACGGTATCGGCCAGTCAGGGCAAGATTCTACGTACAACGCAGCTTCGGCGATTCTTGGACGGAACATCGTCGCCGCATACACGCACCATGCGCTGGTTCAAATCAAACGTGTCGTGTCGTGTGCACTCAGAAGGGCAGATAAGTCGCTTGGCTTTGTGTGGCGTTGCATTGCTGGATTCCGAGTGCACCATTGCCCGCACTCGAGGCCGTGCGTAGAGTTCTTCCTTCATTCCTCCAACAGAAGTGAGGCGAAATGGCAGAGCGGTGGGGGGGGGGGGGAGGGATGGAAAAACGTTTGCTGGTGTGGTGTCATGGCGAACAGCGCTGGCGAGATGAGCTGGCGAAGTGCAGGAGAGAGGCAGGTGTGGCGAGGGTGGTTGGGCTTTCGCGAAACGCTGGCGACGACTTTCGTCCATAGGTCTGTGCCTGCTCAGGATCGGGCCTTGTTCAAGTATCACTGCGCAGATGGTGAGTAGCGGTTCGAAGCGGTGATTTAAACCTACAAAACCTTTTACAGCGTACACTGCACCGAAAATGAACACCCGCCCTGAAACCTAGAAAGTTAGTAAACACCGCCTCATTGACGAACTCAGGCAATGGCCTTCCATCCATGTCTTTATCGAAAATAGAACGCGATTAGTCACGCACAGCATTGCTGCACGCTGAAACTCGCGTTTAGGGTAGAGCTCGCAGTAGAAGCGTTAGATTAGGTTCTAATATTTTAGAGTACCTTGGTTCCGTCGATCTTGTCAGCCGTCCACATGGCGGCATCTGTTCTTCCATACGCGAGACCGCGTTTCGACCAAAGTCACACGCCGCGGCTAGCTAACGATCGCATTCCGAAACCGAGGAGACAAGCAAACAACTTTTTTGCAATGAAGACGTTACCTTGGTACCTGTCGCTGAGTACGCGATGAAGGTCCTCCTTTATTGTTTTTAAATTGTTCTTCTTTACAATTAATATATTCACATGTGTTCATCATCGCTAGCTTCAGTGCCTCCCTCCTTCGCCATTTCTTCCGTTCTCGCGCGTCCCTCTTCCTTCCTGCGTTCCTCCCTTCCATGGCCGTTACAACTCTCAGCTTCTTCGCTCGGTACAGCTTCTAGGCGTAGTTGTAACACCTTGCCCCTTCGCTGGGAATAGTTAAGCACCCTAAGGAGGCACAGTTACGATTAAAAAATAACTAGACACGCGGCCCACTGTTCCGACATGTCATGTCGTCTTAAGTCCTGTTCCGTACAGGTGTCATTTCTAGTCCCACCTCACCCATCCTGCCCCTTTGATGTACCGAGAGAGTAATGTGTCACCTCCTGTGTCTTGCCCCGTGTCATGTTCCGTGTCGCTACCACTCCCCAGGTTGCTGGGCGGCGACAAGAAGGAAGAAGCCGAACGATCGTCCCGAGGCAGCAGAGGAGGCCCGGAGAGTGACGATGACTATGAAGACACTCCTGAGCGGAACGAGGGGGGAGAGGATGAAGTGAGCTTTGCATTCCACCCGTTCGGGGGCACAGAGGCGGACGACGTGATGGCAAGAGTGATGGCGTGATGGAGGTGCAGAGAAGTGGGTAGAGGGTCGGAAGGGAAGGTCAGAGGCAAGAGTGATGGCGTGAAGGAGCTGCAGAGTGAGTGAGTGTGGCTTGCAGGGCAGGTCGCTGTGAGGTTGTATGGGAAGGGAGGGGAAGAGAGGCAGTGGTGACGTGTTGGAGCGGCAGAGCCGACTGGTGGAGAAGCAGGGCGAGCTGAAACGGCTGAAAGCGGAGTTTGAAGCCTTACAGGTGGGTTCTGTGCGGTGCAGGTCGCTATGAGGCTGAATGGGAGGAGCACAGAGGCGGACGATGCGATGGAGCTGCAGAGCCGACTGGTGGAGAAGCAGGGCGAGCTGAAACGACCCAAGGCGGAATACGAAGGCTTGCAGGTGAGTGTGGGTGGTTCTTCCTGAGTTTAGAGGCGTTGACACTGAAGGAGAAGGGGAGTGGAGGAGCGAATGAGAGGGGCACAGAAGCAGTGCTGTCCCCCTCCCGCCTTCTCCCCTTCCGCCCCTTCCCCCTCCCCCCTCCTCTCACTGCCCTGATCCTTTAGCTTGCTTGCTTCAACCCCTGGCAAGGCGAGCAAGGGAGAGAAGAAGTGCAAATGAGGGGAGTGCGGATGAAGGGGGCAGGGCAGGGGGAAAGGTGATACATCAGTCGACCCTCCCTCCTCTTGCTGCACCTCGCTGCCCTGATCCTCCAGCTTGCTTGCTTGCTTCAACCCCTGGCAAGGCGAGCAAGGGAGAGAAGAAGTGTAAATGAGGGGAGTGCGGATGAGGGGGGAAGGGCAGGAAGGAAAGGTGATACATCAGTCGACCCTCCCTCCTCTTGCTGCACCTCGCTGCCCTGATCCTCTAGCTTGCTTGCTTCAACCCCTGGCAAGGCGAGCAACGTGTAATGAGGTTATGTTTGAGACGTCTCAAAAACAACCCCTGCCAAGGCGAGCAAGGGAGAGAAGAAGTGCAAATTAGGGGAGTGCGGATGAGGGGAGTGGAGATGATACAAGGGGAGGGGATACGCGAAGGAGCCAGGAGCGAAGGTGATACATCACTCGACCCTCCCTCCCCCGTGCTGCTCCCCTCACTGCCCTGATCGCCCAGCTTGCTTGCTTCAACCCATGGCCAGGGCCAAGGTGAGCAAGGCGGGGAGGGAGCACAGATGAGGGGAGACGGGCACGAGGAAAGGTGATACACCTGGTTGTGCGAGTCCCCCATTGTCCACCCAGCAGGCCTCGCCGTCGCTGCCCTGCTGCCTTTTGAGTTGACTCAAAGGTTACACCTGGTTGTGCGAGTCCCATTGTCCACCCAGCAGGCCTCCCCGTCGCTTCCCTGCTGCCCCTTGCTGCCCTGATCGCCCAGCTTACTTGCTTCAACCCCTGGCAAGATGAAGGGGGGAGGGAGTCCAGGGGAGCAAAGGTGATGCACCACGGATTGCTTGCACCACTACCTCACAGCACTCGTGCGAACCACTTGTGAAGCTCATCAACCTGTTCTGCACACTGGGAACACGCCCCACCAACCCCCTTCATCCCCCCCCCCCCACCCCCCTCCCGCCTCAACAGTGATATTTAACTGCACTACATACTCGCAACGGCATGCACACCTCGTCGCCGCACTGCACACCTGTGAACCATTCTTGAAGCTCCTTCAGCTGCTCCCTACACTGGGCACAAGTCCCCCACGCCGCTCGGCCTCCGTCTCTCGTCGAATCCCAAGGCAGAAGTGGAAATAGTCAGTCCACCACCAGCTGCTGCTGTCGCGACGCCAGGGATCTAAATCAATCCGAACGAATGCACTGTGGCTGCTGAGTCCTGACTTCTGAGGCGCCTCAAAAGACAGTCCACCCCCAGCTGCTGCTGACGCGACACCAGGGACCTCAATCGGTCTGAACGAATGGGTTGCGGCGGCTGTTGCTGTCGCAGGTCCATCCCAATTGGGTTTCATGTGTTTCTGTTTATGCCCCGTTATTGCAAGTGCCAGGGGTCGGCGCAGCTAAATTACGAATTATTTTTATATATTCGTAATGTGCAGCAAGCTATATGTAACCTCTAGTCAGATATTCTGTTTCTCCCCCCCAACTAGTCAGATATTCCAACTTATATATATCAATATCTTCTGTTTCTCCCCCCCAACTAGTCAGATATTCCAACTTATATATATCGATATCTTCTATTTCTCCCCCCCAACTACCGTAGTCAGATATTCCAACTTATTCCAACTCATTCTTGGGATGTAAAGCCCACAGTACACTGATAATTTATCCATAAACAGGAGAACACGTTACACGTAACACAACACATTACCATTAATATCAGGGGCTAGAGCAACCAAGTCGCTCGGTCATCCAAATGATTAGAAGCAAGCTTTGCTCAATCGTTTCTAATTATAGTGCTCTCTTCCTCGCTCTCCCACAGAGTGCGTGGTTGTTGTTTGGATGAGTCACAGCCATAGGAAACCTAATAAACGCCTTAACATGGTTCTGCATCATATTCAGCACCAGGGATTTTGTGAATGGGCCCCAGCGCTTCAAATAAACAAAGCTGTAGCACTTGAATAGACCACTCCAGCTGCTCGTGATGTTCTTCCAATGTATACAGGTTTCTTCAAGGTATTTGGCAGCAAGGCACGAATGAACAGACATAATGCTGGGTTGAGCCCCTCCTGATCGGATGTTGTCCACTCGCATCTTTTCCACAACGTAACATTCTGATGGAGAGGACCTGCCCATGGGAGAAGAGAATGGTAACACAAAATCCCCAAACATTATGTAGAAGCTCTTCATCGAATATATTTGGTCCAGGATCAGAAAGTACACAACAAAATATTCACGCAATATATCATAGAAGTGCTGAAGGTCAAATGAAGGCAAATGTAAGAAGGGCTGCACCAAATGAATGTCGAAAGCAAGGAACAAAAAAAAGGTTACTTACTCCAGTCCCTTATAAGAGTACTTCCCTGTTGCTGCCAGGTCACCAACGATCTTTCCGTGGCTACAGGGGGGTCTCAACTTGCCGGCATAGCGCACTGAAAATGGAATCGGGCAGCAGGCAAGCATGGTGAGATAGAGAGGTTACTCCCTCCAACGCAGCTGGGTGCGTTATATTGGAACAAGAAAAGGCTAGTAATCTGTGTTATGCCACAACTCGCTATGGCCCTGGGCTTGTGAAAATGACACAACCCTCGGAAAATCATTGTACGCAATATAGCAGTAAACCAACTCTGTCTTGATATAATGAAAAAGAAGCAGGGAAAGAATCTAGTGAAACATTCCTGTAAGTGAAACTTTCTCGTGCTTGGGCTGATGTGAAGCACTCACGAAACACTTTTCCCTTGGGAACAGTCGCGCTCTGTGTGGAGGACGACGCGACAGGGAGGCCGCCTGGACGCGGCGATGATGTTTTAAGGGACGAGAGTAAGGACTCCGGGAAGGACGAGGGTAAGAGGGACGCTGGGAGCGACGGCGCGGCAGATGCTGCTGCACCGGCGGTTGTGCGGAACGGCACCGTTACTAGCACACCTGCACACGGAGATACGGGGCAGGGCGAGGTCTCGTTAGAAGCACGCTGCGTTTGAGCGGCAGAGGGCTTGGTTGCCTTGCGAAGGGGCGGGAAATTAGCAGGTGCTTACAGATTAATAGACAACAAAACGTAGTTTGCTCCATGAGAAAATGGACAAGGAGACTAGCAATCACAGATACTAAAAAAAGCAACAAGAATCCAGGTTCGCTTTGAGAAGTGAGCAAGAAATTATCGAATGCGCGTCACTGTGGCTAGTCGAGCAAGATTCTACGTACAACGCAGCTCGGCGAGTATTGGACGGAACGTTGTCGCCGCAAACACGCACCGTGTCGTGAGCAGTCAATCCCGGCCTTGGTGGCTCCGAACCCACCAAGTGCACCATGCGCCCGTTCAAATCATTCGTGTCGTGTGCACTTCGAAGGGCAGACAAGAACCTGGAGTTAGTCGCTTGATTCATGTCGTGTGCCACTGCATCGCTGGATTCCAAGTGCGCCATGATGGCTCGCACATGAACGCCATGTGTAGGGTTCCATTGTTCCTCCATCATTCCACCACTCGTGTTCCAATGGAAAGAAACCGGCGCAGTTGAAATGGCAGTGAGGCGGGGCTGTGATGAGGGAGGGTGGCAGAAGGTTTGTTCCCCCCACATGGCGAACAGCGGCGAGATGAGACGAGCTGGCGAACCTCAGAGAGAGGCAGGTGTGGCGAAGACGTTTAGGCTTTCGCGAAACGGCAACAGAAAGTTGAACTCGTATGTAACAGAATGTTCACATTGTGCAGCTGAGGATGGGTCAAACTCGGTTCAAGTACCGTATCACTTGCTCAGACATGTCGGTAGCAGTTCAAAGCAGTAGATCAGGCAAACCGCTTAAAACGCACATAATCGTTTTCCACCGCGCACACTGCACCAAAAGGGAACCAAGTCTGTAAACACCGCCTCGCGGACGAACCCAGGCAACACATACCCATCCATAGCTTCATCCAAAAATCAAGTGCGATCAGTCAAGGCATAGCATTCGCGCAAATGCGATAAGATTAGAACCTACCGTTCTTTCATGCTGAAACTCGCGTTTAGGGTAGAGCTCGCAGTAGTAGAGTTACCTTATGCTTCAATATTACCTTGGTTCTCCCTGTCCTCGCGCGTTTGGGCTCGCAAAACCGTTTGTTTTCAATAAAGCTTTCATTTAATGTACCTAATTATTTCTGTCGATCTTGTCAGCTGTCCACATGGCGGCATATATTCTTCCATACACGAGACCGCGTTTCGACTGAAGTCACGCGCCGCGGCTAGCGAACGATCGCATTCCAAAACCGAGGAGACAAGCAAGTGAGGTACGGCGCCTTTTGAGGCGCCTCAAATCGCATTGCGAAACCGAGGGGACAAGCAAGACCGCCACTGACAGGTGCTTTGCAATGAAGTCGTTACCATAGTACCTGTCGCTGAGTATGCGCTGAAGGTCCTTCTTTGGTGTTTCTTAGTTTCTCTTCTCTAGGTATAGTATCCTTACCATTCTCCCTCCCGATGCCTTCTCTTGATCCTAATTTTCCTTCGTTTCCAGTTTTCAGTAATCGTTTCATCATCGCTAACTGCAGTACCTCCCTCCTTCAACGTTGCTTCCGTTCCCGTGCGTCCCCTCTGCCTTCCTGCATTCCTCCCCTCTATGGTCGTTACAATTCTCGACTTTCGCTAGGTATGGTTACAACAGCTTCTAGGCGTGGTTGTAACACCTAGCCCCTTCGCTGGGTACAGTTACAGCACCCCAGGGAGGCACGGTTTCAATCAGAAAACGAGTCAATCACGCAGACTAGTGTTCCTATATGTAATGTCATCTTGAGTCTTGTCCTGTACGAGTGAGTGTACCCCCCCTCCCTCTTGCTGCCCCTTGCTGGCCTGATCGCTCAGCTTGCTTGCTTCAACCCCTGGCAAGGCGACAAGGGAGGGAGGGAATGCAGATGATACGAGCTTCTTCTTCTTCTTCTTCTTCGATATGAGGAGATTAGCGAAGAAGCCAGGAGGGAAGGTGATGCATCAGACTTTTGAGTCGACTCAAAAGTCAACTCAGATGATATGAGCTTCTTCTTCTTCGATATGAGGAGATTAGCGAAGAAGCCAGGAGGGAAGGTGATGCATCAGACTTTTGAGTCGACTCAAAAGTCAACTCAGATGATATGAGCTTCTTCTTCTTCGATATGAGGAGATCAGCGAAGAAGCCAGGAGGGAAGGTGATGCATCAGGCGACCCTCCCTCCCGCCCTCTTGCCGCCCCTCGTTGCCTTGATTGTCTAGCTTGAGGGGAGTGCAGATGAGGGGGGAAGGGAAGGAGGAAAGGTGATACATCAATCGACCCTACCTCGCCACCGCCGCTGCCTCTCGGTGCGCTGATCCCCCAAGTTGCTTCCTTCAACCCCTGCCAACAGGAGAAAGGGAGGGAAGGAGTGCAAAAGAGGGGAGTGCAGATGATGGGAGTGCAGATGATGGGAGTGCAGATGATGGGAGTGCAGATGATGGGAGTGCAGATGATGGGAGGAAGGGAAGGAGGGGAGATGATACATCACTCGATTGGCCCTCCCCCTCCCTGCTGCTCCTCACTGCCCCAGTCGCCCAGCTTGCTTGCGTCAAACCCTGTCAAGGTGGGCAAGGGAGGGTTCGAGTGTGGATGAGGGGAGAACGGCGGGCAGGAGGGCAGGAATAAAAGTTGATACAACAGTCGACCCTCCCTCCCACCTGCTGCCCCTCGCTGCCCCGGTCGCCCAGCTTGCTTGCTTCAAACCCTGTCAAGATGGGCGAGGGAGGGATCGAGTGTGGATGAGGAAAGGCGTTGAGGCAGTGAGGCGTTGCACCAGGGAGGTAATGATGCGCCACTAACACCACCACTGCTGTTAATGAGGCAGTGAGGCGTTGCACCAGGGAGGTAATCCCGCTCTCATTTCAGTGACTCACACTCTCATTCCAGTCAATGACTCACTCCCCCCTCTCCAGTTCTGCGTTTACGAGTTGAGACGTCTCAAGATCTGCCCAGAACAAGGAAGTGTGATGTAAAAGGAATTGGTTAACTCACTGGCTTTCACTCTCATTTCTGTGGATGACTCACACTCCCCCGTCTCCCTCTGCAGCCCTGAGGGACCTGCCCAGCTCAAGGGGGTTGTGTGAGAGGAATAGAACATCAATACCTCTGGCTCACACTCCCAACTCCATGAATGATTCACACTCCCCCCTCTCCCTCTGCAGTGCCGAGCCAAGTCACTGCTGCCGCTAGCCCTCCGTCTCTGGTCGAATACCAAGACAGACCGCTCGGGATTCTCACTGTAGCAAAGCAGTCAGGAAGCTTATAACGAGGACAAGGATTATTGTTGGCCCTGTCCAAAGTATCTGTTACAAGATCCAGCCATCTTCAAAATTCTTATGGTACACTTGCATTGAGAGTTGTATAAAGCAGAATGCATACAATTGACGTTGTCTTTGAGAGCAGGAGAACACCACACATCTAGACCGGACGGAACAGTGCAAACAGAGAGCATTGATCCTGAGGACTTGCAAGAAGTCTACCAAACAAATCTGGAGATAACCAACCTGCCCGGAAGTCTACAAAACAATTCCAGATCGTTGCTTAGTCGTCATCTACTTTTTGGAATGGAACAAGCAAGCTCAGCTAATCAGTTCCAATCACAATGTTCTCAGCCCAGCACTAGAATGCCTTGCTCTCACACATCTCTTCCTTATTCCCCCACAGAGCGCGTAGTTGTTATTTGGATGAGACACAGCGAAATGTTGCCTGGTCAGCGCTTTACCACATTGCTGCACCTTGGATTTTGTAAAAGGGCCGATGTACATGAAACTAACCAAGCTGTAGCGCTTGAACAGACCACTCCAGCGGCTTGTGATGTTCTTCCAATGTGGGACGTTTTTTTCTTTCCGAAATCTGGCAGAAAGGCACTTAGGAACAGGACTAGCGTAGGGTTCAGCCCCTCCTGATCGGACGTTGTCCACACGCAGTTTTTCCACAATGTAATATTCTGTAGCAGAAACCCTGCCAGTGCCACCCATCATTGAACGAATGGTAGAGACAGGGGGGGTTCTCATACGTTATGTCAAGGTTCGTCATTTAATAGTTGGTCCAGTATCAGGAAAATACAAAGTTTTCACAGAATAAATTGCAAATGACGCATTGAATGTCAGGAATGAAACAAGGGATGCACCAAACTGAATATCAGAAGCATGCAACAAAAGTTATACTCACTCCAGTCCCTTGAACGAGTATCTCCCGGTTGCTGCCAGGTCACCAACAATCTTTCCGTGGCTACAGGGGGGTCTCAACTTGCCGGCATAGCGCACTGAAAATGGAATCGGGCGGCAGGCAAGCATGATGAGATGGAGAGGTTCATCTCCCCAACGCAGCTGGGTAGGTTCTTCCTTTAACGAAGAGGCTTGTAGTCTGCGTTGTGCAGCAACTTGCAGTGGCCCTGGACTCTTTAAAAGATGCCACGGCCCCCAAAGAATCACCGTACACGATATAGCAGTACATCAACTCTTTCTCGATACAATGAAGAAACCGGGAAAAAAGTGAGTGAAAACATTCCGGTAAGTGAAACGTTATCCTGCTTAGGCTGGTTGGATTGGAAGCACTCACGAAAAACTTTCCCTTTCAGAGCAGTCGCACTCTGTGTGGACGACACTACAGGGAGCCCGCCTGAACCCGATGACTCATCAGACGCTGCGAAGGATGAGAGTAAGAAGGACTCCGGGAATAAAGAGAGTAAGAGGGACGCTGGGAGCGACGGCGCGGCAGACGCTGCTGCACAAGCGGTTGTGAGGAACGTTACTAGCACACCTGCACACGGGGGAGGCGTAGGGCGGGAAATCGTTAGTATCACGCTGCGTTTTGAGCAGCTGAGGCCAAAAAGCACTTGCGAAGAGGCGGGATAAGTGCTCACAGAATAATAGACAGCAAAACATAGTTCGCTCCATGATAAAGATGTCAAAGAGGCGAGCAACTACTAGTTGTGACAACCCACAAATACTAGGAAAATTAATTCAGGTTCGTCTTGGAAAATGCGCAAGAAGGGGACTGACAACCATTATCGAATGCGCGTAAAGGTCGCTGGCTAGTCATGCGAGAAAGAATCGACAACGCGCTTCGTCAATTCTTGGACGAAACGACGCGAACACTCACCGTGCGCTCTCCGTCGCCGCAGTGACTGCTTCAAACATGTGCAAATCGAAGGGAAGATCGGGAAGATAGGAACTTGGAAAGGCGATAGGGGTCACGTCATACATCTGAACCAGCGCTTGAATTCGTGTGCCATGCCATTGCGTTGCTGGTTTCCAAGTTATCATTGCTCACGCATGGTTGGATGGAGCACATGTGTAGGGTTTCTTTTCTGTTCTCTTCCTTCCACCCTCGCTATGCTGACAGAAAGCAACAAACGCAGGCGAAATCGCGTAAACGAACAAGGGGGGCAGTGGTGACGAGATGAGCTGGCGATGAGTCGGAGAGAGGCAGGTGCGGCGAGGGCGGTTGGGCTTTCGCGATCGTAGTACAAAGGTGAACCCGCGTGTGAGTTCACCCTATTACTTACAAGGATTCGACATTCCTCGGTAATGTATAAGAAACTGTTACACTGATTCAAATACCCTAAAGAATTTTTGTGCTTTATGCTATCAGCCATATGTTGCAATTGGAGTCAGGAAAGGTATGCTGCCTACATAGTGAAGCATTGCACACACATGCAGTATTAAGGGATGAAGAAAACTAGGTCTGAATATAAACAAAGTTGCCGAAGTCTACGTAAACTCTTCCTGAAGTTGCTCTATATCATCCAATGTTTGAAATGATCACAAGCTTGTTAGCTTATCACAACGCTCTCAGCCCAGCACTAGACAGTACTTCTTTCGCATATCTCTTTCTTAATCTCCCACAGAGTGCATGGTTGTTATTTGGATGAGACATGTTACGAATAGTAATACTTGAATATTACTGTGCACTTCTCACCGCAGCAAAGAGAAGCACGCAGTATCGCGAATGAACGCGAAGCGTCAGACGGTTGGAAACGACCCGAAGCGTCAGACAGTTGGGACGCATCTGAACCGTCGGAGCAGACAACATCAGGCAGCTGCAGGCAGGATGGTTTCGGCGGGAACAGATTCGTAACTGTTCACGCCGCACAGTTGGGAATGTATTTGAATAAGGGAATGTACCCCTTAGAGTACATGGCTAGCTAGGTCGATTCATATTCCCCTGTACTCTTATTTATATCGTTGTATCTGCATGTCTTAACTATCTCAAGCATTTACATTGACTCTGCTATTGAGGTCAAGGGCCCACCAACATCACTTCTCTGCGTGCAAACCTTCCTGAGTAGATCCTAGGCCACGATCAACTTCTGATCTCAGCATGGTATGAGAGCGACTCAGGAATCCTTCGCATCGCCATCTCCGAAATCTGCGACATTCGGAAAGTGGCGTCCGGCAAACGATCACGTGTAAGAATGGCCGGAGGATCTGGAGGTCAGACGAATCTGACGGCTGAAGCGCAGCCCAACCCGGCTGCGACAAACGAGGAAACGACGACGATTCCTTCCGCCGTCCTCGCACAACTGCTTCAGCGACTCACGAGCCTGGAGCAAAGGCTCCAGACATTGCGGAATGGCGATGCGGGAACTTCTTCCCAACCCACTCAACCGGCCCCAAACGGTCAAAACTCCGCCCCGCAAGGCTTCTCCCTAGATACGAACGGCTCAACCCCCAAGACTCCCTGTCCCAGCGATGAAGCAATTCTCTCCGCGCTGTCAGAGGTCCACTGGTGATCCCCGATTGATCCTAGGGAAGGGTTACAGGCACGTTGGTCTGGGGGGTTATGGGCGCACTTACCCGCTACACAAACAAGCCCTTTTATCCCAATGGTCTAGTGGTTGGGATTCTGACATGGTATCAGAGCGAAGGTCTCGGGTTCGAATCCCGGTGTGTGCACTTCAGGCATCCCAGTGCGGGGGGGTGTCAGAGGTCCACTGGTGATCCCCGATTGATCCTAGGGAAGGGTTACAGGCACGTTGGTCTGGGGGGTTATGGGCGCACTTACCCGCTACACAAACAAGCCCTTTTATCCCAATGGTCTAGTGGTTGGGATTCTGACACGCGCAATCAAGGTTTTTGAGCATATAAAAAATAAAGACAAGTGTGTGCTTTGACGGCAGAGACTTTTACACCTGGAGCTTCGAGCTGGAGCTGCTGCTGCAAAACGCGCAGATTTATCATTATTTCGACGGGAGCCACTCGGGACCTGCTGAGGACACCGACGACGCAAGGACTCGCTATTATAACGAGTCCCTGATAGCGTACGGGATTCTTCTGCGTAACATGTCGCCGGCGGAGCAGCTGAACATTCGTTCATACAAGACATCGACTGCCCCAGCCCTCGACGCTTGGCGCCACCTGAACGGCGTGTATCAGCCCAAGGACTCCGTCTCCTCGAGCCGTCTACTCCAGCAACTGCTGGAAACTAAGATTACCTCAGGGGAGAAGGTCAACAGCTACATCAACCGCTGTCGGAGCCTTCGCGATCAAATCGTGAAGTTGGGAAGCTCAATTTCCGAGGAAATCTTCGTGAACATTGTGCTTCAAGGGCTTGGCCCAGAGTGGCGGCCCTGCAAGGCGCTCCTCCGACAGCAGGGGGTCATCTCGGAGGCCGCCCTTTGCGCCGCCCTCCTCGTCGAACAACGGGATATGGATCAGCAGCGACCAGCGCCACGACGAGAACGCGAACGGCTCGCCTTCTACGCCGACAACAACGAAGAGCGACGACCGCGGCGCCTCTACTGCAAAATCTGCAGAAACTTCGGGCATTTGGCGGATCGAAGTAAGTCCCGATCTCGCCCTCGCCAGACCCATCCGAGCAACTGGTCCGGCCGACAAGACGCACGAGGCGACGTGCGTCCAGCCCAAGGGTATCAACCCCCACCCGCGCGCAATCTGAACTCAACCGTTCAGCATCAGCAGCAGCAGCCATCAACTGCCCCTACGTGCAACGTCATGAGCAACATGGCCATGACAGGCGAGTCACGTCGTCGCCGTGCTCGCTCACCCTCACCTGAGCCAGCACCGCACCCCATCGGCGCGTTCACCAACAACATCCCGTTCAGCCCGCGCCGCGACTTCAACGACGACGACGACCAGGACTGGAACCTCCCAGTCCCGCTGCTTGAAAGTCCCCCGCACATACCAGACATGCGGGTGGCGCCACTTGATTGGCTCTCGCGCGAGCAATTTTTGAAGTTCGACACCCCGCACATCGTCACACCGCGATTGGCGCTGCTCGCACGTGACAACAACAAGCGCTACAACACCTGGTACCTGGACAGCTGCTGCGGCCAGCATATGGTGGGCTCCGAGCGTTACATATCCAACGCCGTCCCCACCCCTACAGTAACTTACGTCACTGTGGCGAACAACACGCGCCTGCGCGCAAGCGCACAAGGCATCGTCGTGCTCAAAGCACGTGGAAGCCGCACGCACATCACGCTTAACGATGTGCTGATCGTCCAGAACTTGCGCTTCAACCACCTGTCCGCCGCACAGCTCATGGACTGCGGCGTCGACCTCAGCACGGATCGCGAGACACGAGACATCCTGCTGCACTACGAATCGAGCACATTTCCCCGCAGGCAGATCGGACGAGCGCACTCCGAAAATGGAGTGTATGTCCTAGATTTTGACATTCCCGACTGCAGCGGCGACTCGCACGAGTTGATTGATCTCGTGCCACTGCGCTTCGAGCACATCCACCGCAGGGATTGGAAGCACCCTGACGGCAGACCGTGGGTGGCGCATCATCCCCACCCACGCGAAACGGCGTTACACAACCCCGATCCAGATGGCATCTGCAGGGATTGTTACACGCCGACGACATCAACAAGCGCGATTGCCGGTCGCGGAAGCGCCGCCATCGCTGAAGCAGAGCGCCACGCGCCCCCAGAGGAAGGGATGACGCAGCTCGAGCTTGAAGTTACCACCCACGGCATCTTCGGCACGCCAGAGCATCCCCTCATCGAACCCCCCTCACAGCACCTCCAAGGCATGCTGCGCGGAACCGGCGTCGGCACCTTTGATGCCCATGGCGAGCCGCGACCCTACACCTTCGAGAGGTTTTTGGCCATCTACTCTCATCGACGCGACTCATCGAAGAAACTCACCGCGGAGCAAGAGGAAGAATTGGCGCGCCGCGAAGCTGAGGAGCTTCGCCAGCAAAGCCTCGCAGAAGCACGTGGGACCTTCGCTTGCGCCACCTGGGGAGCTGAGGCTGAAGAAAGTGCCTCCAATGAAGGGGGGTGGGGGAGCGCTGGAGGATGGGGAACAAGTGACACTGGCGGCTGGGGAGACACCGGCGGAACCTGGGCCAACGCGAGCGGCGGATGGGGCGCCACAACTAGCGCCGACAATAGCGGCTGGGGTACTTTCCGCGAAGAACGAAAGGGGGGAGAGGACGAAACTAAGGAAACTGAGGCAACACCTGCAGTCGTTCCTCTTGGCCGTCCCCCGCGTCACATTCCACTCGCACCACCTCCTCCTAACAACCCCCCGCGTCGCGATCCATGGGACACCATCATCTGGGGCAACGAGCCGTCAACCCCGCGTCGCACCGTCTACGGACCTGCCCCTGAGCCACGCGAACCGGCGTTCGTACTTGGCACGATCCCCGGGACCAACATTCCGCTCTCTGAGATTCGTGACAGAGAGTTCTTGGCGCTGATGCTGACCACCGCGCTGGAAGAAGAAGAAGCAGAGGAAGTAGCAGCAGAACCTGCTCCTGTACCTGACGAAGACCCTGAGGAAGCACGCGCACGCTACATACGCACCTCCGGCTTTCGCGCTGACGATACTCTCTGGCACCAGCGCCTCGGACACCCTTCACGTGCGACGCTGAAAAACTGCATCGACGCATGCGTCTTCGCTCCTGGCGCACTCCTGCGCCC